AATATAAAAAAAACTATATAAAAAGTAAGGTTTTAAAATAACCAAGATGTATTTTTGAAATACAAGTAATATAGTTAGATACAAAAGATAGCAAACTTTTGCTGTGTAAATATAAAAGTTTCGACTTCAGCAGAAGCTTCGGCTTCAGCAAACTCTTGACCTCAGTACATCCCTAAATCACCACCAACCCCTCCTCCATAGTTTCCAAACGCATACCTTTTTTCAAAACATTTAAAACAAAAAAACTTATAGTTAATTCGATATTTTTTTGTTACATAACGTAGTAATGTTTTTTTCGAAAATGCAATACTTTTATTAAAAAAAAATGAAATCAAGTTTTAGCAGAGATAGAGAGATAGAGAACGAGAGATAGTAAACCCGCGTAGTACCCGCTATCTTTACCACTAATTTTCACATTAGGGGTTCAAAAAGTACATATTTTGTGTAAGTACTTTATGGCCCCCTAATGATAGAAAAAATGCTAAATAATAAAGGTTCTCGAGTTTAATAATACTTGATACTACTGTTTAAGTAGAGTGTGTTTGGTACAACTGTATATCTATAATGAACAACCTTGTTGATGTTTTAGTAGATTATTATAAAGCTTCCTAGTGTTTTGGTATTCAAATAAATCAATTTTTAAAATGGTATACTCAAAATCAACTGGATTAATAATTATTTCAAGTTAATTCAGTAGAAATTTATTTTGGAGATCTTTGCTATCAATATCAAATATTAATGTTAAAGTCTGTTATCATCATATGCAACTCTTAATCTGTTTTCTAATTCCTAAAATAATAATATTTACCAACTAAGAAGCTTAAAGGTAATATTAACAGTAAACTATTAATTGTTTAACTTCTTTTTACAAAAAATTCAGAGTGTATACTTTTAATTCGTTTAAAATTTTTTTTTTATAGTTTATCTCAAAGTTTCTCAACCACTTCTTTAATTTTTTATACGTTGGACTCGTGAGAAAAATAGCCAGCGTTTGCCAAGTTGGCCGAATGAATGTGTGCTAGCTAGGTTGTGAGTAATACTAACTCATTAGGTTACCATCATTAGTATCAATAGGAACATTAAGTGCGTCTTACAAATTTTAAAGTTCGTTTTACTTATACTAAGCCTCTTACACCCCCCCCCACCCCCCTATTGCGCCGGCCCTGATAACTGATAAAGGAATCGGTGTGATAAATGGGGTTTGAGACAAAGTGCCTGAGTACTGCCAGCCCTCCTCCTTTTGTGGAGACTACAAAAAGAAAACAAAATTGACTAGTAAGAACGCGGCTGAGGTTCCGCGTGCCTATTATAGTCAGTTACAAAATATGAAAATAAGATATCAACAGATAAAAAGATTTAAGTTTTTTCTTAAATGAATTTGTAAATTCGTTGAAACTTCTGAACTATTTTGTTCCGTAAAATGTAATTTTTTCCAAAATTTGTTTTTTAAAAAAATGGTTGTTGAATAAATATTTCAGTTTGTAAATCGTAATTCAATCAATTAAAATCAAATCAATTAAAATTAATCAAATCAAACGTCAAATCAATTAAAACAAATTAAAAAGCTTTTTTATTTGTTTTAATTGATTTGACGTTTAATTTGATTCTTCTTTAAAGAAGAAAATAATAATAATAATAATAAACAGTGTAACAATAATTTATTATCAACATTAGCATACATTTATTAAATAAAAAAGCTTATTTTTTAAAAATACTACCCTAAAAAATATTATCATGGTATGGCAATGATTAAATAAGTTGAATACTTGATAGTAAAAGTTTATGTAAAAGACTTTGTATGATACTTCTATGCTTTTAACAATTTTTTGGCTTCCTTTATCAATTTTCTAAATAAAATTTTAATCAACACAAATATTATTATTCTTACTCTAATTTGTTGTATTTGTCCATATGCGTTATGGACTAAATTATATAGTTTTTAAAAATAAAAATTTAATAAATTAAAAGTTTAAGTACAGATCCTTGTGGAACTCCATGTCAGGTATGGCTGCCAGATATGGGGCAAAATTTATCTATCCAAATTGAGAACTTTATAGATGATCATAATTAATCTATAAAAATAGTTTATTTTCAGCCAATCAGTTTCCAATCAGAATTATTGTATAGTTCATAGGATAATTTTAAGTTAGATGAACTCATCTTTTTTTTTGATAACTGTTTTAAATTTGCAAGTTATGTTTATACAAATAATACTTAAATATATTTTTTGTTATAATCTAGCACTACTTTCAAAAAAAAATCTATCTAAATCTGTTTCATCCTCTAAATATCAGTCAATTCACTCTTACAACTCCTTGCCACTCTAAACAACAATAAAAAATACCTTTTACAAATCAAACGTACCTGAAATATTTTTTTGCCTCATACAAACACAAAATTAAACAAATAGATGAGTTCATCTAACTTAAAAGTATTCTATGAACTATTCAATAATTCTGAGTGGAAACTAATTGGCTGCAAATAAATTATTCTTATAAAT